TGAACCCTAGCTCTTCATCTTCCTTAGTCTTGAGAAGGTTTAGAGAATGAATTTCGTCAAGTTTAGGAAATTTAGGAGAATTAGTTGAAAATGGGTAAATTGGGGACTTAAAATTTTTATATGGGGCTTAGGGTAGAAGGCAAAACAACATAGTATTGGATTAAAATAATTAGAAAAAGACTCAAAAGGCCCATAAAAATAATTGTCGAACTCGACCTACGGTTTTGACATACGGACCATAGGATTCCTATGGTATGTACTGGTCAACAGTAGACCAAGTACTAGAACAATTAAATTTATCCAACTTTGAAGGAATCCTTCTACGGTCCGTAGGACTTCCTACGGTTTGTAGACACTAGCCGTAGAACTCAACTTTGACCTTTAAAATTTTACCAAGTCTGAGACTCACCTACAAGCCATATCTACGACTCGAACATAGGATGACGGACTGTCCTGGTGAGAGTACTGGACTTATTTTTGAAAATTTTATTTTCCGACTTTCTACGGTTGACATCTACGGCTCGTAGAAGCTTCTACGGTTCGTAGATGGGACCCGTAAAACCAGACATCAGTCCAAAATTTTCTTTTCTTTTTTTCCAAATTATTTTACATATTTATAGTTGAAGAAGTCTTTCATATAATAAATGGGTAGAATGAGGGGTAGTAATGTGGGTAGATGAATGTGATAGATGTTACATAAGTTACAAGACACTAATGGTCATATGAGTTACAAGAAAATAATGATCATGAGAGTTATAAGAACTAATGGTCATATAAGTTATAAGAACCAATAGTCATCTTTTACCACAATTTATACCCACTAATATATGCACTTAATATTTTATTTTAATAATAAAATGCATATACACCAACATTCCCCACTCATTTTAATATTAAAATAAGAGAGTTCACCAATTTAGTTTAAGGAAGACTACTATGCATAATGAAGGTATGCTCTGCATTGAACCTTCACTTAGTAAAATAGTAACATTTACTCCAGAGTCAGTAGTAGTCTCAGGCTTGAACTATCATTGTTTACACGCAATAATCAAAGTGTTGACATAAGCTTTAATAGCCAGCACATTACATCCTTGTGCTATCCCGATTTTCATGAGCGTTTTTTAGAACAAGCCCATTCTTATACAAAGCGGCCTACTTTCTCACTCACATAGGTGAAATCTATCAAGGGTTCTCCTATAATTTAACACCCCACTCATAAAGAATGCAGACTTTCATTAAGAGTTCAAAGACTCAGCCTCCACAAATCATTATAGGATAAATTCACTCACATCATAAAGATTGAATAAAATTAAATATATAGTGCATTTCACAACAAGTCATTATAGAATTTGTTCTTCTTTTTTAACATGATTATAGGATCTCTAGCCCTCATGTTGAGTTTCCTCATATATGACTCATAATTTATGAGCTTCCATATCATCCCCCTCGATGTACTTCAGACCCTTTATTTTGCTTAGGCCATAGTTGATGAATCTACAAGATTATCACAAATAATTTTAACACAATTAATATTGATGGTATACCAATAATCAATATGATCTCACAATATTGTGTTTTCTCCTCATGAGTCTGAATTTACCATTATAATAACGATTTTGTACTCTCCCAATAATATTGGTGCTATCATAATTAATCAAAATTAGAAAAATTAATTTCTTAAAATAAAGTGTTTGATTTAATAAAATTAATTCACTTTTTTACTAGTTGAAGATTAATTTTTTTTTTACTTCAACCGCCATAGTAGAATTAGCAAAAAATAATTTGCATTTCTCATTCCAACAAATAGCACCATATGTTTTTTATCTAGTTTGATTGTACTTGCCAAGTATTTTTACTGCAAACACAACATCAAGTCAAGTTGTCAGTCACACATCTCACATTTTTTTAATAGGCTAGCAAATTCCTTTTTTTTCTTTGTCACACAATTGAATCAAAAGGAGTTGCAAGACTCACACAATCAATAAGATTGTATTTCATTTTTTTTTTCAACATTATGTGACTTGACAAGGAAAATTTCATAACATGTTTTATGATATTTTTTTCATTCCAAGAATGAAACTTATCTCACCCAAAACATTTCATGTTAAATAACTACTCAACATTCTTTTCATAATTTATTTATAATTCTCATGTTAGAGTCAAAAGTCATCGTATTATAGCCAAACAATAACAAGTGATTTATTCCAAAATAAATATATGTACTTATAGCACTCTTTTTAGAGCATTTCTCAAAGATGTAAAAATCACAATTTCATAATGATTTTTTCCTCATTTTATGTACCCCTATTATTTTAAGAATTTAATTATAATTTTTTTCATGAAAAGTAGTATCACTTTATTCATGAAAATATTAAGTAAAAGTTTTTTTTTCGTATACCTTTTTCTCTTCTTGAATTGAGCAAGTAGAAAATACTTTACCCATATATATTTTATTTTTCATCTCTTGAAGAGAGCGAGGTTGAGTGGAATGATGTTGAGTTCTTTTATCTTGATATCCGCACTTTTTCAAATCGTAACAAAAACATGAATCTCCTTAAAATTGTTGGTGTAATATACCACAAATACAATAAATTACAGTTGAAAATAAAATGAATAAAAAGTATTTGGGTTGAGGCGCAGATATTTCGCTCTCTTTAAGGAGATTCAAGTCCACTGCGGCATAATCTACACCGATCCAATAGTAATACTCTTGACTTGTCCCCTCCAGGATACAACAGTCCAACAACTTCGTACAACTCAAGTAACTCCGATTTAGTTGAAGAGTCCAAAGCTCCACAAAAGAAACCTTCCTTCAACATATAAATACTCTTTTTTGTATATAGTGAATATAGTTGAAGACTTAGAATATTTTCTTTGTTTCAACTCTCTTTCACTACTACCCACTACAATATTTTTTCACACATAACATCACATTTGTGTCAATGTTATAGGTTCCAGTTAGGAAAATTATTGATCATCTCTTCATTTATGGAGAAATTACTAGTTTTGTTAGGGATTACTATGCTAGGGTAATAATGCTCAGATTACTCGAACAACAATTCAACAAGTAGGTGATCATTAGCGATATAATTACCAAACGTATGAGGTCGAGATGAATACCATAGGGAGGGGTATAAGAAAAATTCAATTACAAAGTTAAACCGTGAGTTAATCTCTTGTAGCAAAATAGTAACCAACGAGTAACATAATTTAAATCAACACTGTTCAAGTTATCAATTTAAGATGAGTTAGAAACCAATTTCTTATCAAGACAATAATAAGTTAACACGAGCGACAAGCAAAAAGGTAATCTACGAGTGTGCGGAAGAGGATATTGATTTTCAATAAGAGTCAATGTGATTACTCAACAACATCAATCTCGCATGAATAGGCTAAATTAAGCTCAAGCACAAAAAATGCATTTCTTCAAGAGCTTTTTTCAGGCCTCTCATGTAGCACATGCAAAACAATCCAATACCTTAACATTGATTTCTATTTTCAAGCAAATTTAGCATTTAGCAATGAAACCCCAAATTTCTTTTTCCAAGCAAACTTAGAAATCATAGTTAATATGCAAGTATCAAACAAACTATCCACTTCATGCATTCTTGTCCAAGAAAAACATGAAGATATAGACTAGATTTAAGTTTGCAACCTCAAATCATATATTAAAACATGACAATTAGTTTGTATCCATGTAAATCAATGTAAAACTGAGTAATACACAAAAACCAACTATTTTAATCGACACCAAACTTTATTTACACACCCCTAGAATCTGGAATTTAGCTACTCATAATGAAATTAACAGAAATTAAACCAGAAACGTTATTTGTCATCTGGATATGAAAGCTTAAAGTTCAAAATTAAGAAACCCAAATCAAAACCCTCAAAGTTGAATTACAAACTTGCTTTACACTCAAAAACTCAAGATATTCTTCTCAATGATAATTTCAGAGCATGGAAGGTGAGTTTTCTCTCTCTTCTCAGCTATTTATAGCTTCTAAAAATTAGCAGAAAATTTCATTCTCAAACCCTTCTAGTGATGTTAGTCGGGCTCGCCGACACATTCAGTGAGTCACTGACTACTCTTCTTCTCGTTGTTCTTGCCTTGCTTTAAGATTCAGGTATTTGAACCATAAATGGTGAGCTTGATAGGCATCACCATTCTTGATCGGCGAGTCACCGAATACCACCTTTTCTCGCCAAGTTGTTCTTGTGTTTCAGACAAACTTTCTAGAACTTACGGCGATATCATCATCATCATCTTACCGACTTGATTGGCGAATCTTTGTACCAGTCAGCATCTCGTCGACTTGCTTTGAGCTCTTTAGCTTGGAATTCTGTCATTTTCAACGAGCTCAGGCTCATTTGGTGAGTCGTCGAGTTTATTAGTGAGCTTCAGGTTCGCACTTTCTTTATTTTCTATGTTTTTGGCTTTTTTGCATGTATTTGTCTTCGCCTTGTCCTTAAGTCTTCAACATAAAATGACATTGAAGATACTATTTGTTGAACTAAAAAACCTCAAAGGAGTCTGTTATGAGTTAGTTAATTATGATAGTTAGTTTACTAGTCTAATCAGTTAGTTAGTCTGTTCAGTTAATTAGTTAGAATAAGTTTGTTACTGATTCCTTTCTATCAACATGTCAACTCACTAGTTAGTTAGAGTTTGTTTTTCTCATTCTGTATAAATGTGTGTTCTCATCATAATGGAAATCAGTTAATTGATTCCTCCCAATTATGTGTCTTCCTCTCTGCTCTCTTTGTTAATTGCATCCATGGATGACTAGCCATGGTCATGAGGTATTCTTCACAGAAAAGATACAAGATAAAAAGTTTCAATCATATGTGCAAATAAAACTTGAATTTCATCTCATTATTTCATATCGTATAATCAAACAGGCTCTTAGCATTACCCTAGTTAATATTCAATCCGATCCATACTTGTTTAAAAAAAAACACTTGAGTAAAATAGCGAGTTGAATTTTGTGGTGGGGGGGAGGAAAAAATGAAGATATGTTTGGGGCTTGGAAATTAAACCTCAACCCCAAACTCAACGATAAGAAAAATCCTTTTGACGCCTACTTCCAACCTCTAGTATAATATAATACATATCTCTCTTCGCCACTCTCTGTCTGCGGCCACAAACACAAAAGAGAAAGAGATATGGCATCAGCTACTGCTTCCCACACTTTCTGCGGCATTCCCACCACATCATCATCCTCTACCACCAACAGGTCTACCACCCATTCCTCTGCTCGCTTCCTCCTCAAAACTCCTCTCCGCCGCCTCGGTTTCGCCGGCGCTGTCGCTGATCCTCTCTTCACCAACCACGTCGCAACCAAGCTCCGATCTCTCAAGGCCTCCTCCAATCCTGTTAGGGCCGTTGTCTCCATGGCCAAGAAGAGCGTTGGAGACCTTAGCTCTTCCGATTTGAAGGGCAAGAAAGTCTTCGTCAGGGCTGATTTGAATGTCCCACTTGATGATGCACAGAACATTACTGATGACACTAGGATTAGAGCTGCCATCCCTACCATCAAACACTTGATTGCCAATGGGGCTAAAGTTATTCTCTCCACTCACTTGGGAAGGCCAAAGGGAGTCACTCCTAAATACAGCTTAGCACCGCTTGTCCCCAGGCTATCTGAACTACTTGGAATCCAGGTACATCCTCTTGCTTTTGATATACAAGAAGATAAAAAGAAATAGTTTGTGATGATCTAATTGACTCCATGTATGCTTTTAATTTACTAACAGGTTGTAAAGGCTGATGATTGCATTGGTCCAGAAGTTGAGAAGTTGGTTGATTCACTTCCAGAGGGCGGTGTTCTTCTTCTTGAGAATGTAAGATTCTACAAGGAGGAAGAGAAGAATGAACCTGAGTTTAATTATCCAAATTTTAACAATCAGAATGGATACAGAGACAGAAGCAACAATCAGAATTCCAGGTTCAACAGGGGTAAGAGTCTTATGGCTGATGTTCAAAGTGGTTGTTGTTCAGGGGAAGAGGTGCACAGGGGAAATCATAATGACACCGGTCCCCAATTGACAAGAGAACAATATACACAATTTGTGGAGCTATTACAACAGTTTCAGACTGAGAAAGACAATGCCAATCAGATGGACTTTGCTGGTGGTAATGCAAATTTCGCAGGTATGATAGCATGTACTTCTTCAATTGATTTTGGCAAGTTATCTTGCAGATGTTCTCACAACAAGAATGACTCTTGGATCCTTGACTCAGGAGCCTCCAATCATATGACTTTTGACATAACATTCCTAACAAACATTACTTATCTCCCTTGCCCTTTATTGATTACTTTACCAAATGGTTACAAGGTGAAAGTTGTGCAAATTGGTAATGTGGTACTTGCATCAAACATTGTTTTACAAGAAGTGTTGTATGTGCCTTCTTTTAAGTACAATCTTGTTTCCATTAATTGTCTTTCAAAATCCATACCTAAAAGCATTGTGCATTTTTCTGAATCCTCATGCATTCTGCAGGCCCCTTCAATGAAGAGGCCTCTGGTCATTGGTGAAGCAAAAGATGGACTATATTTTCTATGTTCTAAGTGTCCTGGTGCTTCATGTGCTGCTTCAACTACTTCCACTACTGGCTGCCTGTCAAGTCAAGATGTTTTCAATTCTAAGTTTGTTTCTGTCCCTAATTCTTCATGTAGACACAGTACATGTGATTCTAAGTCCAAGTTTGTTTCATTTCCTGCTTCTTCATGTACCTGTACTCAACACTGTGTTTTAGTCAATAAAAGTCCTAATATTTCTGCTTCTTTTCTGACTCATGCTTGCAATGATGTGAATGTGTTGTGGCATAATAGACTTGGACATGTACCTTTTGTGAAAATGAGAGAAATTAAGTCCATACCTGAGAATTTTTCTGCCAAACAACCTTTCCTTTGTAATATTTGCCCAATGGCAAGGCAAGAAAGACTACCTTTTCCTCACAGTACCCATACTTCTACCAGAATCTTTCAATTGCTACATATAGATCTCTGGGGTCCCTATCATATGGTGACACATGATAACTATAGGTACTTTATCACTCTTGTTGATGATTATAGCAGATGTACATGGACTCAATTGTTGACTTGTAAAAGTAACACCTTAGAAGTCATCAAAAATTTCTTGTCTATGATTCAAACTCAATTCAACACTTGTGTTCAAACCATAAGAACTGACAATGGGCTAGAATTTGTCAATACTGAAACCACAGCATTTCTTAAAAACAAGGGAATAATCCATGAGAAAACATGTCCCTACACACCACAACAAAATGGGGTGGTGGAAAGAAAACATAAGTACTTATTAGAGACTGCCAGGGCCCTCCTTTTTCAATCTAAATTGCCTCTCAAATACTGGGGTGAATGTGTGTTATGTGCCACATACATTATTAACAGGCTCCCCACTTCTCATATGAAAGGCAAATGTCCTTATGAACTATTATATAACACTAAGCCAGTTTACTCCCACATGAGAACATTTGGCTGCCTATGTTATCCTACTCTTCCAAAACCTCATAGGGACAAATTCCAAGCCAGGACCACACCACACATCTTCCTAGGTTATCCTTTTGGATCAAAAGGTTACAAAGTTCTGAGTCTAGCCACTAAAAAGATACACATCTCCAGGGATGTAGTTTTTAAAGAAAGCATTTTTCCTTTTAATGTTCTTCCTGATGTCTCTTCTTTTCCTTCTGTCTTGCATTCTGTGCCCTTCATAGATATTGTGCATCCTAACATTGAGTCACAACTTGTACAACATGTTGAAAACACTGTAATTGACGCAAGTGACACTTTACCTCACACTTCACCTAATCATGTAACTGATTCTCCTACCACCATTCATTCCTCTAATCCTGAACCTACAGTCTCGTGCAGACCCTCTAGACCACATAAATTACCCACATACCTTCATGATTATGTTCTTCCAAGACCTATGACTAAACCTTTACAAAATTCAAATATTTCCCTGAACTCTGTCTTCTCCAAACACCAACACATACCACCTGAAGTCTTGGCACTTGAGAGTCAATCACTTGTGAGAAATGTCAGTAATGATGATGAACCTTCTTCATATGGGGAGGCTGCTATGAACCCTGCCTGGCAACATGCCATGACACAGGAGTTTGAGGCATTACATACAAACCACACTTGGGATCTTGTTAATCTACCTAATGGCAAGAAGGCCATTGGCTATAGGTGGGTCTATAAAGTAAAACATAAGGCTGATGGGACCATCGAAAGATTCAAAGCAAGACTTGTAGTAAAGGGATACACCCAAGAAGCTGGAGTTGATTATACAGAAACATTTTCACCAGTGATCAAGATGACAACTGTGAGAGCTTTACTGGCCACAGCTGTGAAGAAGGGCTGGAATATATTTCAACTTGATGTAAATAATGCATTCCTTCATGGAGATTTACATGAAGAGGTATATATGGAGGTTCCCCAGGCTTAGTGGTAACACAAACCTGGGCTGGTATGCAAACTAAACAAGTCCCTATATGGTCTTAAACAAGCCAGCAGGCAGTGGTATGCCAAACTGGCTGAGGCTTTGTATTCAAAGGGGTATACTCACTCATTGAATGATTATTCCTTGTTCCACAAGAAGTCTGAAAATTCCAGCATTTTTGTTGCTGTCTATGTAGATGATGTAATTCTAACAGGCACCAGTGATTCTGAGATTGAAGAACTCAAAATCTTCCTCCATGACAAGTTTAAGATTAAGGACTTGGGAAGGCTACACTATTTTCTTGGGATGGAAGTACTCTACAAGGAGGATGGACTTATTATCTCTCAAAGGAAGTTTGTTCTTGACTTGTTAAAAGACTACAAAGTTGCAAGTATGAGCAGCTGCAACTCTCCACTTGACC